ACAACTACTTTGTGAGGCGTGACTCGAAAAAATGGTTCGGGACTCTTCGACTCAGTTTTTCATGAGAAATATCACTATATAAATGGTGGGCGCGAATTAGAATACACCCTGTATACATATAGGATGTATCACAAAAGTCAGAGCATGTTAATATCATTTCATCTATCAAATAATTTTATGGACAAACAAAGAATTGTGAAAATAAAAAAAATAACATTTATTAAAAGCATACAAGGTGCGTTCCATAAGTAATGCGACCAATTTTTTTCTGACGCGACGATACACCGCAGCTTTTTCTAACCTGGTGGGCTAGGTGGAGGGGGGTGTTAGCTTCAAAACACGCCCGGTCTCGGTCGTCTCCGAGCTGCCGGAGAGTCAGGACGTGTATTTCCATAAACCGCGTTTTGAGGTCATGTCACACGGCGCAATGGATCGTTCTGTGGACCAACGTTACGCTATCAAATTTTGCGTTAAACTTGGAAAGTCCGCCACCGAAACGTTTCAATTAATTCAGCAGGCCTTTAGGAGTGATTGCTTGTCCAAATCACAAGTTCTCCGATGGCACAAGTCGTTCAAGGAGGGCCGAGAGGAGGTCGCCGAAGAACCCCGCAGTGGACGTTCATCAACCTCCCGAATCGACGAAAATGTGATTCGTGTGCGTGACTGTGTGAATTCTGACCGACGGTTGAGCCTTCACTTGATAGCAGAAACTCTAAACATGACGAAAACAACCGTTTATCGCATTGTAACCGAAGATTTGAACATGAAAAAGGTGTGCGCCAAACTGGTCCCAAAAGTGTTGACTGACGAACAAAAGGACGTGCGAGTGCTTCGGTGCCAAGAACTCTTGGAACTGTGTGAAAATGATCCTAATTTTTTAAACTCAGTTATCACCGGTGATGAGTCATGGATTTTTGAGTACGACCCTGAGACAAAAAGGCAGAGTTCAGAGTGGCACACCCCAGCGGAGCCCCGCCCCAAGAAGGCACGCATGAGCAAGTCCAGGATCAAAACCATGCTCATTGTCTTTTTTTATGTCAGAGGCATTGTCCACCACGAATTCGTACCTCCCGGGACCACTGTGAACGCAGCTTTCTACTTGGAAGTACTTAAAAGACTAAAAAGGAGGATCGCGCGCTGCCGAAGCGATATCAAGGACGCGTGGAAACTTCATCACGACAACGCGCCAAGCCATAGCGCCTTCGTTATCAATGATTTCCTGGCCAGGACCCACACTCCATTGGTTCCTCAGCCTCCCTACAGTCCTGACCTGGCTCCCGCACTTTTTTTTATTTTCTCGGTTAAAAGGAGACCTGAAAGGGAAACATTGGCACACGATTGAAAACATCCAAACTCATGTTACATCGGCTCTAACGGCAATCCCGAAGGCCTTCCAGGATGCCTTCCAGGCCTGGAAACATCGCCTCCAGAAGTGTATCGACGCAGAAGGGTGTTATTTCGAAAATTTTTTAATAATAACACGAATATGTTCAATAAATGAGTTTTTATGAGTTTGGTCGCATTACTTATGGAACGCACCTTGTATAATAGAAACTTTGCTAACTAAAGTTATTTAACTTTTTTTTGTTAACGCAGGAGAATCCTTTATGGATACCCGGGACCCCCCTGGGAGGGGGTTTTGTTGACTAAACCCGGGTTATGTGGGACTGCCCCTCAGAGCGAGGTGCGCGCCAAGATGTAATTTGGCGCGCGGGCTTACCCACTAAACTCCTGCGGTGGCCTGCGCGGTGCTTTGACTTTTGGGGGGACGGCCGGGTATTGACGGAGTCATTCCTTCCGGACCGCCCCCCACACCGGCCTGCCGTTGCACAGTGGTCTGGAACGGACAAACACTTGTTCAAAATAGGCTACAGGTCGTATTTCTTAACCGATTTTAATGTTTCTTGAACAGAAATACTCGGAAATAAATTCTGAAGAGAACTGTGAGAACCGAATTTTGATTTTTTGTGTTAGTGCAAAAATATGTAAGAAAAAAATGTGTTAAACTAGCACTTTTCGACTAAATTATTTTTTATCTGACTCCAAGCTACTTTAACAACCTTACTATCGATGAAAATCAATACTGTCCCATCATAAGAAACAAAATAATTCAATAATAATTTAACTTAATTGTTATTAACAAATTATTGAAAGAAATTATGGTTCCTTGTGCTTTATCACAGAAATAATTAGTTTATTAACTTAATTGGTCTAAAATTACTATAATAATGATTTCTAACAAAACTTGATTGTAAACTAACAATATCCATTATCATAAACAATCAAATAAACAAATAGTAATTTTTAGATTCCTTATTTCAGGGTATTTTAAATATATGACTTAGTTACACGAGGAATCATAATTCCACGTGTAACTAATTCATGATCCAATAGATATTAGAATTACGTTAACAATGTAAATTTGTTGTTAATAACCAACACACAAAAATATAATCAAATCATTGATCATGCTCGCGCGCGCGTGTGTAATGTTGTAAATAATTGTGTAAATTGTTCCTGCGACAGGAAATGTTTTTTAAACGGTTTAGTCAACTTGTAATTGGTATTGCTGAATTAGCTGCATAATTTCGATATCGACCTCATCTTCCGGCTTTGTCCATTGTTGCCTTAAAGAAGCGATATACAGATCAGAAGACACCAGCAATTTGTGGATGAGATCTTGATTTGCTGCCAGTCGAGAATACCTTCGAGTATGAAATTCTCGGAAGCGCTTAAAATCTTCGTTGCGTGCTAATTCAGTAATACCAATTATAAGCTGACTAAACCGTTTAAAAAACATATTTCCTGTCACAGGAACAATTTACACAATTATTTACAACATTACACTGAAAGAACCGTATATTAATAATTAATATACCTGCTTTATTATAAATGTAAGAATTTTTTATGTCCGGTCTTAATAAATATTTCTTTATAGTTAATACATGGTATATTAAGAATTACCAAATATTATTGCATTTATCAGTACGAAAGTAATATTACTGTATACCGCAGTTCAGATTTATTACAAAAGCAGGTAAATTACTCACGAATACATGAGTATTAATCTTAAAACTAGCTTAATTTTTAGTTCATACATCTATTCTTGTCCAGAAGTTCAGTATTATTATAGAAACTTCTTAAGTATTAGCTATGGCAATGACTATGGTAATAATAATGAAAACAATTTTCATATAAATTTACGTATATTAATAGTTAATATACCAATTCTCGTCCCGAATTGAAGTATTTTTACGTTTACTTTTCAAGCATTATCTACTAAATCTTTAAGGTTACCACGAATGTATAATTATGTTTATGTGAATACACGTATATTAATAGTTAATATATATATTTTTCTCCAGAATTTCAATATTTTTATGGGTGCTTTTTGATTATTAACTACTAAATATCGTTATAATGACAATAATTTATGATAATTTTCATGCATGTATATTAAAAGTTAATACATTTATTCTTGTCCAGAATTTTATAATTTTTTTGTCGTCGCTTCATTTGTAAAATCTTCGAAATAAATTTTTAATCTTGCAAAATACAATGTATGTATGTAATCTTTATTCCCTTGCGGGGTACATTGCGGACCTCCGCTCCGCTTACATCTTTATCCGCTTTTTTTCCGCTTTTTCGCACGCTCGCGAGAGAGAGAAACGCACTCAATCATTCTTTCATCCACTCATTCATTCATACCTGGGACCTCCGTTTCCGCCGCTTTCTTCACTCTCACTCTTCTCACACTCCTCCCCCTCCCCTACTATTCCCACCCCTCTCCATTCCTCTATTTTCCTCATCCATTCCTCACCTCCTCCCTCTTCTCCTAGAACTTCCTCTACCATATCTCTCCACCCCTTCTTCCTT